ATTGTCCCAGCTGGAATAGAACGAGTTTCCAACCTAACCCGAACTGAGCTCATCAGCACCATGAACGGGAATCGAATCTGGATAATGCAATGTATAATCTAGACATGTTAACTAATACGCCATATTGCCACAGTGAATTGGCAGAAGTGAATTTCAAGAAAGGCCGGGCATTTTCCCATATCAGATTCTGAGGTGGGATTTTCGATGAAGCAAATTAATATTTTATATAACAATCGACAACACTACTTAATTTCCGTTTGAAAGTAGGCTTTCTATACTATCACTAGATCATATATATATATATATATACCTCTTTTTCATTGTTAAATAGGTAAAGTATTCGATCGTTATAGCAAATATACCTTTGCTTTATCGACAATCCCACCAAAGAATTCGATATGGGAAAAAGCCTGGCCTTTCTTTAAATTCACATCTGCCCTGTGACACAAGGTTACTGGTGGCAATGTGGCGTAGTGATAACGTGAAGAGTTTATACGCAGCAATATCATGTTTCGAGTCCCGATGGGGTTGCGAATAAGACCTAGGAGAGGTCTAGACAATAGTCCACCATAAATGATGATATATTTCAAGAAAGCAATTAAATGAAAACGTAAGGGAAAATGTAATCACCAGTTCTCTCATCCCATTAAAGAAAATTGTGTGAATATGAATAGCAGCTGGGTTTAGAAGAATCCCTCACAATATTGATACTGACAAATGGTTCATTTCGTTTTAGAAGGCGAGTCGAAAGGATTCGGATACCTCAGGAGGGTTGGCTTGGACTGTTCTGGGCAAACCTCAGCTCACCGTCCTACGACCCCAATGACTCTGTGCTGAGCTCTCTTCTGTCATGTGACGGACGGCATCAGAGCCCGAAACAATTATTCACGAAAAAATCACCAAAACACCAAACTGGCAATTCAAGAAAGATGGGTGAACTATTGAAGAAATGTAGCATCAAGACAATGCATAAAGAAACAATAACGATTTGCTCAATCATGCCTCTTTTTTGCTAGAGAATCTTCCGACGCCCTCTGCAGATCAGGCTGTGATAAGGTTCTCTGCTCATGTGGTAGCGTTTATGGTACAACAGGCCAACATAACACAGCCTCGCTTGCATTGGTTTATGGATTCAGAAATGGGAAGTGGCCGATCACGTGACAGCTACAGGACACCACATGGAGGGGTGTAAATGCCACCGTTTTGTTGGATATGGAGACTTGACAACTGAGCGAAAGATTGGGGAGTTGATTGAAATTAAACAAAACAAAGAACGTCCTGAATAAGAGGAACGAATGTAGAATTATGTCTGGCTTCTAAATGGAATTAGAAAGAGAAAGAAGCTGAGTAAACAGAAAGATATTCGTATTAGAGTAGGGTTTCGAGACTACCAGTAAATCAGTGTAATGAGATGTATTCACCCTATT